TATATATATATATATAATGTTTTGTTCAATACATTACATGTTCTACTTTTGAGGTGAATAAAATATGAAATACAATCACTACAAACTTGAATGAGATGTGTTAGAAACTTGGATGATTATAAAAAGTCAACAACTCAATATCAAAATTTATAAAAATATCTATAACAATATCCTAAGTGAATACAAAGTAGATATACATTAAACTATAACCGTTTACCCCAATAAAAGGGTACTTCACAGCCGTGTCATGAGTTTCAAATTTTTGCCCAATCAATTTCAAGAAAAAATTGCACTGCTTCTTTGCTCATATTGGTTTCATTTTCACATTCATTCAATGGGATTTTCGATAATGGAATACAACTAAGTAGGATTACATTTTGGATAACCTCCGAAAAATGCAACTAACAGTCCAGTCTTTCCCCATACAATTTTACAACGTCACATAACATAACACCAACTTTCTACTAGAAAACTCTATCCTGATATCCACTGTCTTGAATAGTAGATGTAGATGGCTTAGGTATCGAATGCTGCTTCATTTGCGTTGCACGACTTGCAGGGGCTGAAAATTCAAACATACTCTGCGTTTGGTTGGCCAGCATTTCACCTAAATCGCAGGGCATGGGATCAGTCCAGAAGAAATCGTGATTGAGGGCCGTGTCCGCGTCATAACGTTTTGAAGGATCGAGTACTAAGAGCTTATCGAGTAGATCACAGGCATGTGGATCCTTCAAGTATGAGGTGAGACGTTCTGTCACCTGAAGAAATAAATTAGAAAAAGTTACATCTGGAAAAGTCTAATTTATGAATAAGGTAAAAATTTTCAACAGGTTATATATGGGATTAACAAAAAACTCAAACCTGGCTTGTAGAATAGTGAACCTTACACAACCAAGTTTTGGCATAAATTCATGACACTGTACAGTCTTCTGCTTTTATTATCAATGTTACTTTCCTTAAACGCAGTTTCGTTGGACATCTGTTTGAAAAAAAATCTGTTTTTCCGTTAACTAGCTGTCGCACCCCTACGAACGACAATCCTCAGAAGTCGAAATATCATCAACCTATTGTACTTCTTGAATAAATAACCATGCAAAGAGCCTTGAACATCGTTATCAGATGGTGCGAGCATGAGAACCTCTCAGTGAATGCCCAAAAAAACACTGTCGTCGCGTTCACAAGAAAAATACTGATAACAGGACTAAAATCACCAATACTCAATTAAGCGGAGATCTTTTTCGCCACGGAAGTCAAATACTTAGGTGTGACTTTCGATCACAGGCTCACGTGGAACCTCCACATCCAAAAACAGCAGGGCCAGGACGGCCCTGGTAATCTGCAGAAGAATGTGGAGGAAAAACTGGGGGCTGGATCCAAAAATGACACTCTGGTTATATACAAGGGTAGTGAGACCTATGATAACATACGGTGTAGTGATTTGGTGAGCAAGAACATGAATATTTGAACATTTGGTGATTTCAGCATTTTGGGGTGAAAAAGTAGTCAGAAAGTAATAATATATATGCTACATATTGAAATAAATAATAATGATGATGAATATTCTCATGCAACACATAAATGTAAGTATGAGAATATAAAACTATGAAGCATAAAAATATAAAAGTGAATGCATATTTGAGAATGGAGAGTGCAACTTTTGAGACATTATTGTCTATGGTGAAAGAAAAATTAACAAAGCAGCATACTGCCATGCGAGAACCAATATCTCCAGAGGAACGTTTGGTAGCAACGCTTAGATTTCTTGCCAGGCAGATCTTATGAAGATCCAAAATACTCCGTTGGAATTTCTGCTCAAGCACTGGGCTACATAATACCACAGACATGTTCCGGTCCGCACCAGGATACACTTTTTTGCAATTTTGAATCAGAGCTTCAAAACCCTTATTCTTTAAATTTTGGTTGACACAATCATTTGACTTTATTTTCCATAAAGCTGGATGACTTTTATACATTACTATCAACTCAGTTAAAAACTCTTTGCCCATAAAACGACTGTCTACGCTTTCCGACAAATTTTTACATAATAATTCAAGCCCACTTGCTTAAACTGTTAATGTATGGTTCTAAAAAACAACTGTCAATTTTAACTTTCAGACAAGTCTCTGCATGATAAGACCGTAGCGTGTCTGGCCCGTACTCAACCATTAACGCACAGATTTGTCGACAGACTGAAACCGAGCTGGATAAAGTCTTCAGACAAACCTCTGTGTGTATGGCGGGCTATTAGGCGGCATACAGAGGCTGGCGTGTCTAACTGTCGCGGGAGCTATGAAAACGACCCCAACTGCAGCACTTGAGGTCCAACTCGAAATTCCACCACCATTGTATATCTACATACGAAGAGAAGCTCGACTGGTGACGCAGGCTAATGCAGGGGCGAACTCCAATTAGCCAGTCACACGGTGCAGAATACTTGAAACTGTACAATGAACTGAAGGCAGATCCAATACTAGAAAGCCCGTGGATGACACAGTTCCGCAGTACAATGTTCAAAAAGATTTCAAAACCGTCATACCAAGTAGAGAGGACTGGCAAAACATACCCAAGAAGGAGTGGGAGCCGGTATATACGGAGGCAGAGCAAAGTCGAAAAAGTAGCGGCCATCGAACACTGTATAGGGGAAATAAACAGGCAGAAGTTCACAAAGAAAACCATTGCCATTTTTTTCGACAGCCAGGCGGCATTTAAGACGCTCAGCTCCTTTCAAGTCTTCTCAAGACTGCTTGGATACCCGGACATGGGGGTTTCACAAGGGCAGTGACGAGGCCGATGTTCCAGCCCGTGGAGGCCCATACAAGGCTATTATCGGCCCAGAACCCTTCTGTGGGGTAGCGAAAGCATGTTTAAAGGCATCCATAAATTCATGGATGCAAGCCAAATCGATAGATCGGTGGAATAAGCTCCCAGGAATGAGGCAGAAAAAGTTCATGAAGAAACCATCTCCCAGATTCACAAAAGACCTGCTGAACCATAACCGTAAGGTTGGTCTAAGGTGGGTCTACTAACGGGGCATAGCGGACTCAAGAAACATATGAGCAATATGGGTCTGATAGAAAAAACCCAATGCAGGTTCTGTCAAAATGAGGAATAAACCGCACTGCATGTGCTCTGTGAATGCGAAGCGATAGCAAGGCTGAGACACACAAGATGCGAGGAAGAGGAACCAGAGAAGTTAGACAATGAGCTCTTACAACCAAGAAGCATCACAATGGATCTAACCATGGTAGCCTGGTTTGATGTGTGAGGCTTGTGAAGTAGAGGTCTGATCGAATCATGAAAATATACTGGATTTATTTAGATAAATTGCTTGATGAGAAGCGTCAATCATGCGATATTTTCTGTTAGGTGAGTATTGTGTGTTTCAATTATATTCAATTGTAAGTAAATGCGAATTCCCTACTGTAAAATGTGTTTTCGAATGACTTAACTCATATTTTGTTTCAAAATAAATGGTTTCTAACGAAAAACAAGAACAACATCACGGACTTGGAGAAAGAAAACAATAAATACATGCAGTTATTCAATAGAAACCAAAATTTGAACAGATTCTATTGCAATTAGATTAGGATTAACTAAAATATCTTCTCCAAATTCGTCATCAGCTATTGCTGATGTAATATTCACATATTTATAAAATATCTATTGAATTACAAAAGACTGTACTGACACTACTTTCAAAACAAATAGGACGTGATAAAAAAATTCAAATACACTCACTTTCCTCTTTTGCTTCTGAGGCAACTTCATTTTGTTGAACAGCTCCAGATTTTCCACTCCAGGCCATACTTGTGGAGTAATTGAACCACAAAGGTGGGATATCACAGCAAGCTGATGCTGCTCACTATTTCCTTGCATTATTGGAATACGTGTCCACATTTCAGCCATGATACAACCGGCACCCCACAAATCAACTGGTGGACCATAATTTCGCTCTCCAAGAAGAAGTTCTGGCGGTCGATACCATAAAGTAACAACCCGATTTGTGTACCTGAAATGTGTGTCGTGGAGTATTTTATAGATGTAGAAATTGATGTATTGTTTGGAATAATGATTATATTCACTTTTTAGGCCACTTTTTATTGGGCCACAACTTCATAAAAATAATTTACAGTATTTACAGGACACCAACAGGTGATTATGACATTTTGTACTTACGGCATATAAATGTGAGTAATTTCTAGGCAGTTTTGTCAATTGCATTGACATTATGCTTTTTGTCTAATCTGAAACATATGCTATACAGTATAATGGTGAAATTGCACAAATGACATTTAGATAGTATGCATTATCATGAATAGTTCAGTTATCATCTGAAAACAATTGTGGATACTAACAATCGAAATGTCATGAGAAAATTCAGTTTGATATCTTTTTCTTATTTAACTTTTTTGGTATTTTTCCATCATGATTATTTTATTTCTTTGAATTTCAATTGTACTATTTACTGTTTGTATTCAATTTGAAATATCACTTATTGTTCATCCCAATATAAACTTTTTTTGATGTTAGGTTAGGTTCGCCATTAATGCTGAATTTATTTTACATTACTTCTGATTCATCTAAGTCAACTGAATATATATCGAAAAAATTATTGTTTTAGCGTTCTCAATTGAATTCATTTTCATTTTATTTTCAATAGTACCTGAATAAGTGTACATTCTATTCATTTGATTTGAAATCATTACATTAACTTACTGAATACTATCAGCATATCAAAATTATATAAACTCCATTTGTTTCTGGACCTCCAATGTAAATTATAATTTTTCAGAGAGGTTAACTTTAAATGTATAGAATTTTAAGTTATTTTAGGTAACCATCCCCTTAGACCAATATTTCTGAAAACAATTAAACTGGACATTTTCATGGATTACCTAAAATGTAAAGAATACTTCTCTTATACTAAATCCAGAGAGAAGTTGAAGAGCATAATTATTTTTCGATTTTATCCCGAGAAAGTAAATGTAAACATTTTGAACGAATATATTTCAGATTTCTATTCTAATGAATTTTTCACATACTTGATTGGGTAGCTTAATAGTAACTGAGTAAAATGTCTACTGAATAGAGAACAACATTTTTTTTCAATAGAGTGAAAAAGATTCTAAAATTACTCATGACCTGAATATAAACTTTATGTTCCATGAATAAATCACTCATATTTGAAACCACCCATAATTATGCACATTTGGTGCAACAGCCTGGTTGACTTTATCACAAACAATAGACTGCACTAAAAATAAATGTCAAAATATGAAACCGTTTCCTTACCTATTTGGTACTTCATTTTTTCTGGTACTGAATGCTCTTGCTAGCCCAAAGTCAGCAAGTTTCAAAACTCCATTGTTAGTTATTAATATATTTGAAGATTTTATATCTCTATGCAAAATGTTGTTATTATGAATGAAGTAAAGTCCATTCAGAAGTTGCTGCATAACTTTCTTGATCTCACCCAAACTGAATTTAACATTAACATTGGATAACAAGCCTGCTAGATCATGCTCACAAAAATCAAAAACCAGATAAAAAGTTGAATGATATTTGTTGTATTGGGAAGGCTTTGTTCTGCAGGTTTCGATCAAGTTTACTACATTTTGGTGTTTCAATAACTGCAGTATCCGAATTTCTCTAAGGGCTGTAATTGGAAACTGAAAGCAAGCATAGAGGTGAGAATTGGTAAAAAATATAAGGTCATTCAGTCACTTACTCCCTGTTTCTCATTATCCATTAAAACCTTCTTCATAGCCACAATTTTTTTGGGGTTACTCTTTTCTCTTGCCTTGAAAACTTCGCTGTAAGAAAAGTGAATATTAGGTACCTAGTTCAATTTTTCGTGAAGATAAAATGTTTACCCAAAAGTTCCTTGTCCAATTTTGGCAAGTTTTTCATATTTTTCTGTTAAATTACATTGAGGAAAAACGGAATTTTCCATGTAATTTTGCTTCTCCTGCAAATTTATCTTAGCATAAGGATGACTGCGAGAGGCAGAATGATGATTTGGTTTTCGATCCCGACTTGAATTCATCATTTTGATTTATAGGTGGCTATGACTAACTTTTGCGAGTAAAATAAAAATTTCCAGATTGGTATATCACAACTACCAATTATATTGGTACAATGCAAAATCCAAGAACACACTGACTCAATCTCATATCTTAGATGGTTCAAATATATGAGTTTATCAATATTCTTCTTCTCTCAATGTTGTCACACAGTGTGACCAACCCACCCGGTACTTGATGGAAATCGTATGTCCAATGTTATTGCTATAAGAAATTATTGTTCCTTTCGAATTATGTGTGAATAATGTAATTATATGAAGAAATAATGGAGTTTTCCAACGTATAAAAATTGAATGATCGAATGAATGATCATTAACTATTAGATACTATTGTTTTTATATGAAAACAATTTGGATATAGTACAAGTAAACGATATAGTGCCCCTACCTTCCAGCAGTTCCCCTTTAACAAAATAGTTAGGGAGCTAACTAATTTTGTTATTCATTAATCAATTCTGATTATATAAGAATCACAATAATTATATTATACATTAAACGTCACATTGAAAGTGTGGCAGTCATTGAAATTAGGTCAAAATTTGTGTTAGGTGTTAGGAGTCACACGTTTAAAGGTAAGACCTCGTTAGTCCTTAGCTCGCACAAGTTTCTCAACTTC